ACGCGCTCGTTCCTGGATCTGGTTTATGGTTTGCAGGTGATCCATCGTGGAGAATCCGCTTCTGAAGCCGGCTTGTTCGACTGGTTGCGCTGCGTCGAGTTTTGCGGATATTCTGTTGAGCACTACCTTCGTGAAGAGCTTGTACATAACCGGCAGTAGGCAGATGGGTCGGTAGTTCTTTAGGTCTTCAGGATCACCCTTCTTGTACAGGAGCACGGTTCGTGACTCTTTCCATTTGAGCGGGATCTTCCGTTGCCGCATGCACTGCGTGAAGAATTTGCTGACGCGCTTCCAGAGTTCTGGCCCGCCGGCCTTTAGCATCTCTGCCGTAATACCGTCAGGGCCGGGAGCCTTGCCGTTCTTGAACGTCTTCAGCGCGTCTTGGATTTCGAGCCAGCTAACGGGCGCAGGAGTTGCTGGATGTCCTTCCGGGTTTCTTTCGATCCTAGTCACTTCTACTTTGCTGTCGAATAGCGACGTGTAGAATCTACGGCATACATCTTCGACCGCCGGCCGCTCAGTCTGAAGGGCGTCGTTTTCATCCAGGAGAGCGCCTGTGACGAGCTGTGATTGTGCTAGCCTTCGCTTGCATTTCTTTATGCTCTGCCTAGCGACTGCTGCTTCCACGAGCCGCTTGTTCCGATGTTCCTCGTAGTCGGTCTCGAGCTTTCTTCTAATCTCTCGGCTCAGCTCGCGGCATTTCTCTGGCCCTTCACCGCTCTGTTTCAGCGACTGCAGCTCGGCGAGAAGAGTGCGGGTTTCCGGTTTTATCCTCGGCTCACTGGCCTTGCGTGGCTTGACCTCTGCCGTTTTTACGCATCGCATCAGCGTCTCTTCGAGCTGTTCGTAGCGCTCGTTGATTCGTGAGTCACCGCTAGCGTTCCAGTTCACCGTACGGACTTCTGCTCGGAGCTTCGCCTGGTCTATCTCCGCCGGCATTTTCTGCTTGCCTGCGAGTGCCCGCTTCCGCTTCATGCCTGGCAAGTCAAGTAGAAGCGTCGCACGAACGATCTTGTGGTCGCTTCTGGCCATAAACCTCGAGAGGACTTCGAAGTTTTGGACGCACCATCTGTCGTCGCACAGGACGTAGTCGATTTCTGAGCGGGTCGTGCCATCCGCTGACTGCCACGTCCACCGTTTTCTCCGTGGCTTCTCGAAGAAGCTATTCATCACGTACAGCTTCTTGCTCTCCGCGAAGGCAGTCATCCGGTGCCCGGCCGGGTTTCTGTTTTCTGCGCTGAATTTGCCAACGAAGGCTTCTCCCGGCTGGCCGCGCCCCGTGCGTGCGTTGAAATCGCCCATGACGATGGTCCGGCAGGCTGGTTGTGCGAGCTTTAGGTCCAATTCGGCGTAGAAGTCTTCGTGCTCGTCCTCCGAGTATCCGCTGTGAGGAGCGTAGACCTGGATGATCATCACGGGTAGACGTTGACCGGGAGCCTTCAGCCTCAGGACGCCGTTTCGGCTGGATTTGAGCTCGATGGACAGGACGCTGCACGTCAGACTCTTGTGAATAATGAAGCCGATGCCTCCGATGGTGCTGTCGTTTTGGCCGATGGTGCACGGCGCGACGTGTACTTCGGCCCCCCGCAGCTTGCCGTCTGTCCACCGCATACGTTGTGCCTTCTTCGTGTGCGTCTCGGAGAGGCCGACCACGTCGAACTTGATCTGCTCCAATGCGTCCATGATTTCATTTGTCCGGTGTCCATTTGAGTTTATTTGATCAGTCCCGCCAGCTCCGCTTTGCCCAAGGTTGAACGAAGCGAGGCGTAGCTTGGTTGCGCGACACCGTTGAAGCATCTTTTGTTCTACAGGTCCGGTGGCGTCGTACGCCGCGTTGTCGCGCCGCCGCGGTTTCGGATCGCTCCTAGACCCTCGTCCAGTGTTGTTACCCGAGGTTTCGGCTCTCTTCCGGAGGCTAGGTAGGCCCGGCGGAGAGGTGGAGTATTAGTCCGTGGTCCTTGGACGGCTTGCCGAAGGTCGTCTGCACCGGAGGTTTTTTGCGCGGTTGTTGATGAACGGTGTCCGCCGTCGTTTCCGGATCGACTGCGGCCTTCGCGCTTCGGTAGCTTCCCTGGACAGGACATGGGGGCCTCATCCGCCCGACCTTCAGCAGGGATTGCCTGCGTGTACGGCCGGGTACCCGGCATTATTGGTCACGTTACCAAGCCCGTCCAGTTAGGCTATGACGATGTTCAGTTTGTCGGGCTGTTCCGTTCACGCGCAGCCGTCATCCTTATCCAGCGGCACCCGCATCGACGATGTTTGTCGTTGCTTCTCGGAGGAATCGTCGCCGCCGCCGCTGACGTCATCGTTGCCTCGGGACCCCGTTGTCAGCATTGCTCAGCATCGGGATGACCCTACCTCCCGCATATCAGGCTCACGCGTTTTCTGAACGCTCACCAAAGGGGCATCGTGAAAGGACTATGCATAAAAAAATTTTTTTAAACTAATTTTTTATGTTCAAACTTTATGCGTTGTATACTCAATTTTGTCAATATTTAACTCAGTAAAAAAGGAGCAAAAAAGGCACCACGTGGAATCACGATAATTTGTACCAAAGTCAGATTGGTCGGCCGCGTTCGGTTTGTAAACCGGTACACCTATGGACGTACACGAGCCTCGAGCCGGCGGTACATCGAATACATAAGGTCGTCCACCTCATAGAGCCCATTAATGTTGTCGTGTGCGATGTCGACGAAGACCGTAAACGAAAACTTCGGTACGTCGCTGTAGGACCACACAAATTCTTCCCAGTAACGAAAGATGCGATGATACATTGCGATACACTGTTTGTCATTCAACTTCTCGAGGTACTTGAACCCTGAT